TCGCAAAGATCTCGCCCTTGCTCGGATCCATAATCTGTGCGACGTGTGTGAGAAGATATCTTGTGTAAATTGAAAAGAATTTCAATCGATGGGGCGCATACGGTGAAGTGGAGGCGCAGTGAGGGCTGCTGCTGTTCGACTGAGTAGTTACCCAGTACGAGCACATCCCTGCTGAGCTCTTCCTTGAGGCAACGCTCCGTGTTAGGGCTGATGTCGAATTTGATTCCATGCACGCCCAGCACCAGGCCAATGACCAGCACCACGAGCACAAAAGTGGTCCTTCGCGTCATCATTATGTGGTTTGCCCGCCTTGCTTCCAATCGTGGCCAAATGATCAAGCTACGCGAGATGCCAGGCTGTTGTTCTGCTGACGCAGGCAACATGTGCGCTTGTACACGAAATTTCGTCCACTCGCTTGCTTACGTCACCAACCAAGGAAAATGCCGTTTATTACATTGTGCGCCTTTGCGGAGGGTGTGTGCAGGGCCGTCACCATCGTTCGAGGGGAAGGCCGTACGGCCTCAACTTCTCTCTCTCGTGTGCCATTGAAGGTGTGGTGAATGCAGGAATCCAAAATATATGGGGGGAGGCGATGGTCGGGATTGCTCACGATGGGCGATTAGAGGAGGATGCACTTCTTGTCGCTCTTGGGCTTGGAGGGACCTCGAATCAGCCCTTCACAGACTCGCACCGCAGTATCGAACACGGCCTGCACGCGCGCACGCATACTTTTCAGCGATCGACGCCCCAGTCGTGCACACAACACGTTCCTGTTGCCAGGGTACCTTGATTCCGTTCTTGGTGATGGCGGAGCATTCGAGATAGGCGAGGGCCTTGATCTCGTCTCGCAGCTCCTTGCCCTTTTCATAGGACACCTCCTCTCGCCCGTCGTCCAGCTGACCCACGGTGCCCCGCAGATCTTCCTTGGTGCCCACCAACACGAGCGGCGTGCCCGGGCTGTAGTGCTGCGCAATGGAAGCAACCGGGTCAGCTGCTCGCGACACGACACACGACACACACGGCATGACACGACACACGGCGCTCCGGGGCGTTGTTTACCTTGAGTTCGGGAATCCAGCGCTCCTTGATGTTCTTGTAGGTGATGGAATCCACCACGGAAAAGCACACCACGAAGCAGTGCACATTCACATAACTACGCACGCGCACCACCATCATAGGGAGAAAGTCTGTCAGTCCTCTTCACCACCACACCGCCTCTTCACCACCCGCGCAAGAAGGGAAGGGAAGGGGCTCACGACCTCATGATACGAATCCGGTCGTACTCCTCCTGACCTGCCCACCCGACCGCGTTGCCGTCAGTCCAACACCACCACACCAGAAGTTGAAGTTTGCTCCCCCCCCGAGAAGTTTTTGCTCCCGAGAGGCGAAGACGCCGGGACGATAAAGCTGGTTGGGGGGGGGGGCTAAGAAGAAGTACCGGCTGTGTCCCAAAGGGAGAGTTTGATGACTTTGGTGCCGATGTCGACCTCGGTTATGTAATTCTCGAATATGGTTGGGGCGTACACCGGGTCGAAGGGCTTCCCGCTGTAGGCCATCAACAAGCACGTCTTGCCCACCGCACCATCACCCACTTCACACGAAAAACCCCACTCATCACCATGAGCACCTCCTTGACCATTGATGGGGGGGGGGATTAAGGCAGGTACAGCGGTGCGGGCGTACCAACAACCACCTTCTTTACGTCGCTCATTTCTTCTTCTCCTTCTTTGTTAGATCGATAGAGCTGCCTCGCCGCGGATCACGTCGATTTGATTGATGGAGTTTCGGGAGGATGAGGAAGTAACTGCTCGAAAATACATCTTTTTATCTTCCAATATATTAATTAGCCGAGCTGGCACGCAGCCAGTGGTGCAGCTCAGCTGGAAGCCAAAGAATGGACCGGCCCCGAAATTTCGAATTCGATCCACGCCAAGCACAACATATCCTGATTGAATATCCATCAGCCCATCGCTCATTTCGATCACATGTCGCGCAGAGGTCGAGGCCTTGTACGTATGATTTCTTTGGGGGGGAGCGAAAGCAAAAATCTTTGATTGCCAATGCAGCTGCATTGCTGATTCGCGCGTGGGCACGTGTAGACCGGTGCTGCCGAGAGCAGGCCGCGTAGTGGCTCACCTTCTGTCGCTCCCAAGGACCTCGCCGCTGACTCCTCCTTCAGTACCCCCCCCCTCTACACGGGCGTAGTAGCTGCCAGCGCAACGTTGGTGCTGGCGGTGCTGATGGTGGGTGTGGCGTGGTGCGTGCACGCAGGGCGGGTGACCCGCAACTACACGGAGGCGTACGTGGCGCGCCGAGCCCTGTTCCGAGAGGACACCAAACGCCGCATGACCCACATCGCCGCCCGCAAGGCCAAGGCAACCCCCCCTCACTTCTCCCACTTGACCGCCCTCGGCGTGTTCCCGAATCGTGCTAAACGTGCCGTGCGTGCCTATGCGGCGTGTGCGTGTGCATGTGCATGTGCGTGTGCGGTGGTGCGTGTGCGTGTGCGTGGGCAACAGCTGGCGTTTGATAAACGGGCAGAGCTTGAAGAGCGCAAGAAGCAGTCGTCCTGGCGCAATTCCCTTGGGTGGGGCCGGGTGCGCCACATCCGTCCCCCCAGCACTCACCACTATGTTGGTGGCTGGTGGTCGTGGCCGTGGTGGCTGGTGGTGGTGGTGGTGGTGGTGGTGGTGGTGGTGGTGGTGGTGTGTTGTCCTCAAGCCTTGCGTTCCCATCCATTGACTTTTCTCGATCCCCTCCCCTCCCATGCGCACCGCGTCTGGTGTCCGTGCGATCGCGACGTGGACGAGAGCAGGCAGACGACGCCATTCTGCCCGTCGCCGACGACAGCCACAGTCAGGCCCCCAACTGTCGCCTCTGCGGGTACGTACGGCTGTGCTGCTGGTGGTGTGCTACGACTCATGAAGCGGGTGCACCACGACCACGGCCATCGTCAGGGCGAGCTTCATGGCTTTGGTGCGGAAGCGGTACAAGTGTCCGCTGTGCGAGTTGGCGGTGTGCGGGACCTGCTTCAACCAAAAGATCCAGCTCGACCCCGTCATCTTCACCGACCTGCCCAGTACGCACCACCACCACCGCTCTTCCGCTTCCACTTGGACACCTGCCTGATCGCACGCGCGCGCACGCTCTCAGTCACCGAGGTGATCTGCAAGGCCTGCTACGCGCTGGTGCAGGAAGAAGAGGAGCGCGCCACCATCGCCAAGTACGTTAGGGGGCTTGTGGGGGGGGGAGGAAGAGAGAGGGTGGAATCAGTTCGTGTCGCGTGTCGCGTGTGCCGTGCACGTCGTCTGCTGACGACCCGTGGTCTGTGTGGGGTCGCTGACGTTGTCGCAGGGCCATCGAGACCGCGCCGGAGCAGCCGCTGGTGTACTACCACCGGGTGGTGATGGAGGTGGTGCGCACCCTCTCCCGCCACCTGCCCCGCTACGAGAGCAGCGTGCTCGCCGCCGACTCAGTCGCCGACTGCGAGGTACACCGGCGCCCCTCACGGCCAATCGCCGGCACGGAAAAAAAAACTGACTAGTCCGGTCGGTCGATGGGTGGCTGCCGTGGCTGGTGGCTGGTGGCTGTTGCTCTGCGCGCAGGAAGCGGGCAAGGTGGAGACGAGCCTCGTGGAGCTCTTCAAGAACTTTGACATCGGCGTCAAGAAGATCACCGCCATGAAGTTCGAGAGCGAGAAGGTTCGCACCTGCTCCTCACCCCTCCGTCCACAATCGGTTAGCTGGGCATGTTGGCACCCGCCGAGCTGACGGATCCATCGCGGACATGCGGTGCGGTGGGATGTGATGCGGGATGTGATGTGGGATGTGGTGCGGCGCCTGCAGGAGACCCGTGTACAGAACAGCGTCAAGATGGCGCTCATCGGGTTTCTGCAGGAGAACCTCGCCCGGTTCAGGACCCTCCAGAACGTACCCACCCCTCTCCCCCACCACTACTACTCCTCCGACTGCTGCCATCATCACCGGGACTCGATCTGGTGACCTCACCCCGCCCGGTCGAATGGCTCCGCTGGTGAAACAGCAAAGGAAGGGACTCCTGGCGCAGTTCATCGAGGACGAGAAGTCGGGGACCAAGAGGAAGTCCCACCGCAAACAGAACGCCGCAGATGGCGGCCAACACGGTACCCCGGCCCCGGCCCCGGCCCCGGCCTCTCCACCTCCAGCTTCTCCCCCCCCCTCACCGTGCGTGGTATGTGTGGTATGGGCGCCGTGTGTATGTCAGGCTCCGGCCCCTTCATCGCCACGATCGACCCGGCCATGTCCCCCATGGTGAGTCTCGCATACCACACGACACACACACGACGACACCCGTCGACGTTTGGGTGGGGGAAGCTGTGCTTGTGCTGACGATGTGGTGCGTTTGCTCTGTCGCAACAACAACAACAACGTTGATGGTGGTAGGCCGGCACGAAGCTGACGTTCACGGGGACCAACTTCAAGTCGGGCACCAAGGTGGAGATCGCCGGCATCTCGTGCCGCATCAAGTTCATGGGTACCCCCACCCACCCAATCCCCTCTCGACCCCCTTCGGCCGAACGTAACTCGAAATAATACTAATAACAATAATAACAATAATAACAATTTTGCTTTGCGGTTTGGCGCCCTGCCCGTAGGTCCCGATCGGTTGATCGTGTACAGCCCGGCCCTCGAGTCGGAGGGCCTCAAGAACGTCCTCATCACCAACCCCTCCGGCGAGTCCCACAAGCTCGGTACACGCCACCGCTCACGCTCGCCTCCTCGCCCTTCTTCTCCTCCTCTGTCGCCTTCCAAACGCGACACGCACACTGACGCTTCGCTCTCCAACGCGTGTGCCGTGTGTGCCGTGTGCGCAGAGAACGTGCTGCTCTACTCGGACGAGTACTTCCGGCTGACGCAGGCCGACCGGCGTCAGCAGGACGGCGCCTCGTCGGCGGGGCACGAGACGAAGAGGAGCAGCTCAGATGAAGGCAGCGGGAAGCGCGCCGATGTCGCGGCGGCCTCCACGACCGCCGCCACGGTCCCCTCCCGATCCGTGTCGTCGCCGGCCATCAGCGGCGGAGCGCCCCTCGCCATCGACGAGGTCGTGGCCAACAGCAAAGTGCCCCGTACGGCGCCCTTCGCTGATAGAGGGGAGAAGGGGGGCACTCGGTGCGTGTGCGTGCGTGTGTGGTGTGCGTGTGTGGCCTGACACCACTCGGTGCGTGGTGTGTGCCATGTTGCGCGCAGTGGAGGATCCGGTGATCCGGCTCATCCATCCGGCCATCTGCCCCGTCGGGGGCGGCACCACGCTGCGCCTCACGGGCAACCATTTTTGCAACCAGTCCGCCGTCCGCATCGGAGGCAAGGACGCCCCCGTGCTCCATTTCTCCGACCTCGCTCAGGGTATACACCCCCCCCCCACTCCGCGCGTGCGGAAGGCGGCAGCAGCAGCAGCAGCAGCAGCAGCAAGGTAAGGCGGCGACTGACGTGTGGCGGGTGGTGGTGGCTGGCTGGCTGGCTGGTGGTTTGGGGCAGGCGAGTCACAGTCGCAGCAGCTGGAGGTTCGATCGCCGAGGTTGGCCAAGGTCGGGTTCCACGCGGTGGAGGTCGTCAACCCGGGCGGCAAGCGGTACCGCCTCGACGACGTGCTCTAGTACACCGACGACCCGGCCCTGCTCGGCGACGACCACACCTCTCCCGCCGCCGCCGACAAGCCGGCCAAGGCCAAGGAGCCCTCATCGGCAGCGCGGCGCGTGAGCGGCTTCTTCGGGCGGGCCAGTGTGAGCGCGTCGTCGTCGCCCACACTCGACAAGGACAACCTGCGGGGCGCCACCATGCGCCGGGCCGAGAGCACGGACAATCTCGAGGCGGCCAGACTGGGCACCAGCACCAACGGCATCGCCGCGGCGGCCGCGTCCAGGCTCGGCGTGCTGCCCACCGCCTCGCCCGTGCACCTCCGCAACACCAGCGACAGCCTCGGAGGTGGCGGCGGCTACACGCGGGGCATCCGCAACGGCGACGGCGACGAGGAGGAGAGCGCGGGTGGCGGCCATGCCTGGGCCTCGCGATCAGCGAGCATTCTCACCAAGTCGCCGCGACAGCAGATGAACCCAGCGCGGCCGTCTCCCGACGTCGCCTTCGGAGCCATGACCATCGGTGACCTCATTGACGACGGCAGCGGCAGCAATGCCGGCCCCGGCGGCGGTGGCCGAGTCAGCGGTCGGCCGCCAGTTGGATCGGGCCACGCGCGATCCGTGTCGCTCGACCAAAGCGCAATCGCGCGGGGGGTAGGCGGCGGACGAGGGGCAGCAGCAGTACCAGCGCCAGCCACCACCTTCCTGTCCAGCGGCGGCAGTGGCGTGGGGCGGGGGCTGGGCGGCAGCAGCAGCAGCGGAGGCATCTTCTGGAACGTCATCGATGACGACCCGTCCTCCGTTTCGGCCCCCAGCTCGCTCTCCTCCTCTTCCTCGTCGTCGTCGTCGGCGCGTGGACCCACGTCGCGGCTTCGGTGGGGCGCCACCAATAAAAACAACCACTAGTGGTGGTGGCTGCAATGTACTCCACAGACTACACAAACGGCAAGGCCGCGTGGCGGCGTGTAGTGGGGCGTGTGTCATTGGTGTCGTGAGAGAATGGATGTCAAGCGTGAGATGAGATTATACACTGGCGGTCATCTTGGCGAGCTCCTTCTCCCTGGCCTTCTTGATGTCGCGCTCCGTTCGCGCCCTGTCCTTCTTGTCCGATTTCTTCTTTTTCTTCTTCTCCTTCTCCTTCTCCTCCTTCCCCTTGTCTCCCTTCCCCTTCTCCTTCTTGTTTCGCTCCTTCTTCTCCTTCGAGTTCTTCCGCTCTCGCTTCTTCTCCTTCTCCCCCTTGTTGGTGGCGTCCGTCGTCGTGGTGGTGGTGGTCGTGGTGGTGGCAGCGTCGTCGTCCTCTCGCGTGCTGTCGTCATCGGCGCGCACGCTGTCCTCGCTCTCGGGCTCGGAGGCCGACGCGGTCTGCGAGGGTCCCGACGATGAGGCCAGCGACGAGCGCTGCCTCGCTGGAGTCTCGCCGCCGTCCCCTCGTTCGCTCTCCTCGTCCCGCTGCTTTTGTCGCTCCCGCTTGATGAGCTCCACCGTGTCCTCCGTCAGCGAGAACGAAAACGTGTACGTCCCCGCCGACGAACTCTCCTTCGCGCTCCGCACCCGATTGAACTCCGCCACCTGATCCATCCATCCGTGCATGCGTGCATGCGGGGACCACCAAGATCGGGTGCGGAGGGAGGGATTGGTTAGCGGAGGCTGGTAATGTATGCATAGTTTGTTGGGGGGGGGTGTTATTGTTGTTGTTATTGATGATGCCATCGTCGTTGTCGCTGTGGTGGTTGTTGGTATACATCAAAACGCCGAAGAGGCGCAGGTGACGTACCTCGTCAATCAGGTGGAGGTTGGTGTCGAACTCGGCAAAACTCTCCAGCACTTGCTCTTGTGTCATCGCACAGTCCCGCACCTGGACACACGACACACACGACACACAGTGCACACCGAAAATGCGTCAGCCATTATTATTATTATCGACTCAAGGCCGTTTCGAGTGCCGCGCAGTAGGGCGTGCCTTCTTCTCGTCGATCATGTCTTCGAATATGTGGCGCATGGAGGCCAGCTTATCGCCGTACTGCGCCACGAACTCCCGCAGGATGGCATCGCCGCACTGCCTGGGCAGCTCCAGCTGCTCCCCCCAAAACACGCGTCAGCAACTCTGCCGGGAAGACCACAGCCAGCAAGAGAGGGGATGGAGCACCTTGTCGCCGATCTCGTGAAAGAGGCCCACCACGACGTGGTCCACCTTGGAGAAGACACACCGAATGCGCGGCTTGCGGGGACGAGGCGACGCGATCATTGGCTGCCGCACGACACCGGCAGCACATCGTTAAGGAATCGCGACAACACCGCCAACACAACAAGCGCACACGGAAGAGAGAGGGAGCGGACAGGCAGAGCTGAAAGAGGGACACACACGCAGCGACTACAGAGAGCAATAATAGCAAAAACAAGAATGATTCTCGTGTAGCGAGGGGTTCGTACTCGCAGGCCGGCTCCGCCTGAGGCGCGTTTGGATTTGATGGAATAGAGGTCCTGCTGCGATCGGCGTCTGCCTTCCGGCGGAGGATCGAACAACACGTAGTTTGTATCTGGTGATGTGAAACAATGGAAGATGATAAAATCAGAGCTCTCCCGAAGAGTGAACACCCCCCCCCACATATGAAATGAAGGGGTGAAGAAGGTACCGCCTCTGCCGCCGAGAGATTGAGAGAGTTTGTAGAAAGCGACGATAACCTTGGCGATGCCTGCCACATTGGGATCACCCTTCCATGCCCACGTGTGGTGGAAGAGAGCGATGCCGGTTGGGTAGTCCACCACCATCACCCGAAGCAGCCGCCGCGTGGGCCGCACCGAGAGCGACGATGAAGACGAAGTTCCCGACGATGGCCCCGTCGATTCTTCCTCGCCCGACCCCGGCAACGTGACGCTACGTCGACCGGGGGCGGCCGTCTTCTCGCCTTCCACCACCCGCTCTGCCCAGCCCTCTGCTCTTCGATCCATATGGATTGATACGGCTACGCGCTCGCACCTCCTCCTTGGCCTCTCTCTCCGTACTTCCCTCCTCGTGTCTTGTTGCGCTGTTGCCGCTACTCTTGGTTTTCCCTCTGCCTCCCAAACGCGCCAAACATTTCCTCCTGTGTTTCCGAAATGTTCCGCAAACGACATTTATCGAGAATGCCAAGAATTGGCGCAATGCTTTGTTTTCTTGGCGTCACCAGCACGAAGTGAGCAGCATCATCGGCAGCGAGAGAAGAAAGAAGCCATCAAAACCGAAACAAAGCAAAGATGCGCAGAATCACCGCTCGCTCTGTCACTACGCCCCTCTTCACATCGAAGACTGCTTCGCTCGCCGGCTCCGCCCGCCCCCTCTTCGGTGCGCAATTCCGGATTTTTGAACTTACGATGCGAAGCGCTTGGATGCACTTCATCATGTAATGCTCCGCACCCTGCTGACCCAACCCCGCAAACAAACAGGCATCGTTTCTGCGGCCGACAAGGTCGTTCCCAAGGATGGCCGTACGCCCCCCCCCGATTTTCCCGGATGTCGGCAATTTATTGATTTATTCAATCAATTGTTGATCATGCCTCTTTCTTTTTTGTCTCTTTCATATCAATTCAATGTTGCAGTCGTGACCGTGGAGGTGTACCGCTGGTCCGCCGATGAGAAGGAGAAGCCCTACATCCAGAGCTACAAGGTTTGTTTTTATCATCGCCCTTCCCCCCTCCACCCCCATTGTTTGTCTCTACGTCCGCAACCAGGGAGAGCTCACGCAAGACGCGCGTCTGGTGGTGTGGTCTGTGCGTGTGTGCGTGTGCGTGTTTTCCAGCTGGACGTCAACAACTGCGCGCCCATGGTGCTCGACGCGCTGCTCAAGATCAAGAACGAGCAGGACCCCACCCTCTCCTTCAGGAGGTAACGTGCGACCCTCCCTCATCCACTCTTCTTTTCTCTTCTCTTCTCTCTCTTGCGCCTTCCGCGATTCGCGTGTGCACACGCCTAACCCACGCGTGTCGTGCGTGTCGTGTGTCGTGTGTCGTGTGTCGTGTGTCGTGTGTGCAGGTCGTGCCGCGAGGGCATCTGCGGCAGCTGCGCGATGAACATCGACGGCACCAACACGCTGGCCTGCCTCAAGCCCGTCGCCGAGTCCGTCACCAACGGCAAGATCAAGATCTACCCGCTCCCCCACCTTCGTACGCGCCCGCCTCGCACCCTATCTCTGCACCCCCCCCGTCGTGTGACTGACGCACCTTCCCAACGTGTGTCGTGTCGTTGGTCGTGTGTCGTGTGTCGTGCAACAGCGGTGGTGAGGGATCTGGTGCCGGACCTGAGCAACTTCTACGAGCAGCACAAGTCGATCCAGCCGTACCTGCAGGTGGACGACCACGCCGCCCTGGGCTCGAGCAAGACGGAGCAGCTGCAGACGCGGGAGGACAGGAAGAAGCTCGACGGCCTCTACGAGTGCATCCTGTGCGCGTGCTGCTCCACGTCGTGCCCCTCCTACTGGTGGGCCGGCAACGAGAACAAGTACCTCGGCCCCGCCATCCTCCTCCAGGCCTACAGGTGGATCGCCGACTCCCGCGACCAGCACACCAACCAGAGGCTCAGGTGCGCTCTCTCCATTCCCATTCCACTCCACTCCACTCCATTCCCTACGCAATGGTCATCACCTCAAGAGTGGCTGCTGACGTGTGGTGTGTTTCGCCAGGGCTCTGGCCAAGGAGGACATGAAGGTGTACGCGTGTCACACCATCATGAACTGTACAAAGGTGTGCCCCAAGGGGCTCAACCCGGCCCTCGCCGTCGCCAAGGTCAAGAAGGTACCGTGCATTCATTTGCCGCTCTCGAGAGACCCCAAAGCCCCACTTTTTGCATACATTGCGCTCACCTCCTCCTCCTCTTCCTCCTCTTTTCTTTTTATGCCAGGCCACCCTCGAGCTCGACGTGCAGCAGAAGAAGCAGGCCCTCGCCCACTAAGCTACGGGCAGTTCTTCGAAGACCTTCCGATGTCCCCCCCCCCAATGTAGCGATCACTCGCCGCATGCGGCCCTCCTCCACACATACTACACCGACGTTTTCATTGGTTCGTGTATTTGTATGGTACTTTGTGGGACCGGCGTACAGTGAGGGGGAGCTCGAGAGGATGGGAAGGGGCAGCGGGTCAGCCCCTGCCTCGTCCGCGGGGTCCGCCGCGCGGGCGCGTGGCTCGGGAGGTGGTGGTGGAGGCGTCGTCGGTGATCGGGTTGGGCGTGTAGTAGGACACGCGGCTGCGGAAGCCCGCGTCGCCCGAACCCGCGGCCGCCGACTGCTGGCCCGCCGGTGGTGACAGCGTCGATGACGGCGACGGCGACGACGGCGCTGACGTGGAAGACGAGCCGCCGGACGGAGGGGGAGAGGGAGATTCGGGGAGGGAGCTGGAGGAGGGGGAAGAGGGGAACGGCGCCGGTTCGGCCATCTGCCCGAAGGCCGCCAGGGGCAGCGGGTTGGTGGTGCCCACCACCGGAGGCTTCCCACCACCGCCGCCGCTGGTCATCGTGAAGCGCGGCTTGGACGCAGTCGACGGTGGCGGCGGCGCTCGCCCACGCCCAGCGGCGGCCGCGGAGGAGGGGCCGCCCGATCCTGGCGAGGGCGTTGCCGCGGGCGAAGGGGGAGGGCCGGCGGCTGCCGCCGTCGACGGCGTGGAGGCCGCAGCGGCAGCGGCGGGATCGGAGGGCGCCGGGGAGGGGTGGCACGAGAAGGTGCGCCTCGGCGAGCGGGCGGCGCTGCTGCTGCTGCCTCCCGAGCCGGGCGAAGGCGTCGGACCGTTGTCGGCGGCGGCGGATGAAGTGCCGGACGACGCGCGAAGCGGCGGGACGGCGGTGGCGGTGGAGAGGGTGGCCCTCCGCGGACTCACCAGGTCCGACGCCGCGGACGCCGTCGTGCCCCGCGGCGACGCCCCGTCGGCCGATGACGGCGACGGAAGGGCGGCGGCACCGGCGCCGGGTTCGAGAGTGTTGCCGCGGAGGCGGTTGTGGCCGTCGGCCACCGGGACGATGCCGCTCCCGGCGCGCGAGAGGGGCTGCCGGGGCTCGGCCGACGCGGCGGCGTGGTCCGGTACGGGTTCGAGGTGGTCGTGCGACGACGAGGCCTCGATGCGCTCCATCTCGACGTCGAGCGAGCGCTTCTCGAGCAGCACCGGCGCGCGCCGGTCTTTGCGCGACCGCGACGTGGACGACGACGACTGCAGATCGCAGAGCACCGCGTCGGCCTCGGTCGTGTCGCGCGAGGCGACGGTGTTGGGCAGCACCGCGTGCGACCCGCTCACGATCAGAGAGCCCGACGACAGAAGCGGCCGCACCGCCACAGACTGCGACGACGACGAGGCGACGACGAACGGGCCGACCATGGTCGTGGCGGGGGCGTCGTCGTGGCCGACCATGCCTCCGATGAGGGATCCGGCGGGCGATGCGGACGCGGAGGAGGGCGAGGAGGAGCCGCTGCGCGGGGAGGCCGGCTGCTGGTCATCGCCGGTGAGCACCAGGTCCGCCCCCTCGAACATCTGCGTGGGCAGCCGCGTGCGCGTCTTACCTACAAACACCAAACCAATGCATACCATACCATACCATACCATACATTAGGCTGGTGGTGGTGGCTGGTGGTGAGTGGGCGGGAGGTGCGGGGGGGGGGCGTGCCGGTGATCTTCTTGGGGCGGGGCAGGGGCGCCGAGAGGGAGGAGGAGGAGGAGGAGTCGTCGGGTACGACCGGAATGTGGGACTGGGACAGAGCCGAAGGGGCGGCGAGCTTCACCGTTCCTGCTGCTCCGTCCTGCTTCTTGTTGTTGGCCTTGTCCTGGTAGAACTTGACCCGCTCTACACGGCACACGCGACCAGGCACACACAAAACACAACGGCGCTGACGTCAGCACGCGTCACCAGGGGGGAGTGGATGGCGGGGGCGCGGGGAAGGGGACCGGTCATGTGGGCGAGCCACTCGTCCTTCTCGTCGGCCGTCTTGCAGTAGAGGGTGACGATTTTCTTGTCCCCGTCCATCAGCAGGATCTCGAACCCGTGCTGCGCCGCTGGTGATGAACAACACGCACACGCACACGCACACGCACACGCACACGCACACGCACACGACCAACGACACGATACGGCACGCATGGGAACGTGGTGAGGTTGATGGTGGTGTGATGGGTGGTTGGCGGGCAGAGGGTACTGTCGGTGTCGGGGATGGACCAGGCGGAGCACCGCTTGAGCGGGATGGCGCTCTTGTAGAGGTAGATCTTACGCGAATTCGACACGCTCGCCTTGCCCTGTTGTTGTTTGTTGATTGGTTGGTGTGTTACGTTTGAATCCACACATACAATAGAAATATGTAATGTTGATTGTTGCTATGAAAGAAATAAAGAAGCGGCCAATGGCGGGTGGGGAATATATATATAAATAAAGTACCTTGATGGTGGACTTGAATTCGGAGATCTTCTGCTGGAAGAGGGTGGAGCTGGCGAAGACGAGGAGGTCGCTGAAGAGGAACAGGTGCCGCTCCTGCGTCTTGCCCTGCGACGAGATCTTGCTGCACGTCATCTCCCGCAGGAACTGGCGGCCGGGCTTCACCAGCGACTGGCCCAGCTCCTGTGCTCCCCCCCCCCAACCGCCCTCTGCGTGAGCCCACCCTTCATCGGCGAGGAATTTGTCGTAGTTTGCATCGTGTGTGTGGTGTGTGTGGTGTGTGTGGTGTGTGTGGTGTGTGTGGTGTGTGTGGTGTGTGTGGTGTGTGTGGTGTGTGTGGTGTGTGGTGCGTTGTTGTGTGTTGTGTGTGTGATGTGTGATGTGTGTGTGTGTGATGTGTGATGTGTGATGTGTGTCGTGTGTGAGAGGTGTTGGTACGGAGATGTTGGAGATCTGGCCCTGGATCTCGAGGATCTTCTGGAGGTTCTCGGAGTCGCGCTTCTTTTTGTTGACCTCCTCGACGACGCCCTGCACCTTCTCCAGGGCGGCCTTGGCCTGGGCGTGGTCGGGGTGCTCCTCCGGCGTGTACTTGAGCAGCTCCTGCCATTCCCCAAAAACATCACACGACACACAACACACGACACACGACACACGACACACGACACGGAATGAGAACTCGGTATTGGGGCCGCCAAGAGGTCAGGTGGCAGTACCCGGAGGAGGAGGGGGTATTTGCAGATGCGTTGGATGGGCTTGATGAGGAATGCGTTGAAGGAGAGACTGCGCGTAGCCGGATTCTCCGCACATTCCTGAAATATAACAACAAAAACAAAATAATGACAATGAGAGAGAGGACGTCCCAATCAGACGAGAGGGAGAAGAGGGAACGATCAAGGCTGGTGGGTATGGTGGCGTACGTCGAGGAATTTGGCGAAGGGCTTGTTCTTCTTCTCGAGGAGGTCCATGGTCCTGATGCAGTTCTCCTGATTGGCACAGTACTGCGTGTACATCTTGAAGTAGTCCGCCTGGCGTGGTTGGTGTTGAGTCCCCGAGAAATGACACACGCACAACGCACGACGCCTCGCGTGGTGGATGTGGAGGAGTACCGTTTCGAGGAAGATGTGTCCCACCTTGTCGTCCTTCTTGGCGCGCATGTCGGCGAGGGCGCGCTCCAGCTGCTCGTTGACGTTGAGCAACACAGAGAGGTTGGAGAAGATGCTCTGCAGCTCCGCATTCCCGAGTATACCGCGGGACTTGAGGGGCATGTAGAACACCTGTGCGCACGAGCGAAAAGAGAGAGCGAGAGAGAGAAAGAACGAAGGAAAGAACGAACGAAAGAAGAGAAAATGAGCGAAGCGAAGCGGCGCGAGGAGGGGGAGGGAGGAGTAGGGTACGGAGAGGATGAGTTTGAGATCGCGGACGTAGTCGGTCTCGGTGTTGACGAGCTCTTCGACCACCTGCTGACGCAGGCGCTGCTGCTGCAGCACCGGATCCACCGCCTCCCCGCTGCGTGGCGAGCTCACCAGCAGCGATTGCGACGAGGCCAGACTCGACACCGCCGCCTCCGACGACAACGACGACGGAGGAGGCGAAACGCGGGGCGACGATCCCGGAGATGACGATCTGGTGGTGGAGGTGGTGGTGGTGGCCGAGTCGATCTCGTGGTGGAGTCCGTTGTTGCTGCGCGGGGAGGGCTGCTGCTTGAGGGCGGCCACGGAGGTCATGGCGGGCAGGGAGTGGGCCACCCCTCCGCCCACCCGCTTGGGCGGCAACGCGGGCGCGCCGGCGCCGGGCCCGGGCGCCACGTGCCGGCCCGCATCCGCAAAGGGGCTTCGCACGAATGTGTGGCGATCGCCGGCCGCGCCGCTCAGATTCGACACGGACGTGGATCGCGGAGAAGACGATGGTGCTAATGATGATGATGACGAAGAAGAAGAAGGTGATGGTGAGGTGGTGGCAGATGGCGGCGGGAGGGCATCGGAGGAGGCGAAGCGGGTGGGCGGTGGGTCGCGGAGGGAGATGGGCGCCATGGAGCCCATCATGGAGGCGCGCTTGTCCTCGACCTCGCGCAGCTTGAACCGTTTCCGGTCGGCCTCGGCCAGCAGCTGCTCGACCAGGCCCACCCCGCCCGCTCGGCCCACCGACCCATCGCCGCCGCCGCCGCTGGCCGGCCCGATGATCTCTCCATCGGGCGCTGGGTCTTCGGGGACGGCGGGCAGAGACGATGATGACGACGACGACGGAGAAGAAGAAGATGGAGAGGTTGGCGACGTGGTGGAGGCGTCGCCGGGAGCGTCTTTGGAAGGCCGGTCCTTTTTGACGTGGTCGCGCTTGAGGCGCAGGAAGGACGTGCCCCGCTTGACCTGCGCCACGTCTTTCGTGGTGGCCGACATGTCACCGCGCACGTCTACGCGGGATGCGCACCGGTGCCCGGAAAGAACGTAAGTAATAATCAAATAAGTATTATTTTATTTATTATTAATTGAGCAGAAAGGGGCCAAAGAACGAAAGCGACAAATGGGGGGGGGGGCATTAAAATAGCCTCGTATTTTTGTTGAGGCGAAGATGCACTCTCCACGGTAGAGGGATATGTGAACGCGAAAATCCACCACCGAATCCGGGGGGGGGGTAATGAAAAAAAAAGGAAGGTCCGAGTACCTGACCAGGAACAATAGCTGCAGGCGCTTGAGCTGCGTAGATGGGCAAAAGATGAAGACGTGGGTGGCGCGTCTCCGAGACGAGAAAAGTGCACAGCCGCGCTGAGAAGCAAGTTTGTTGCGGGTTTGCCCTTCCGTTCTTTGGTTGGAATGTCGACATTTTACGACACCGTCAGTTCCCGGCCCCACTCATCACGGCCGTGGTGGTGAAACGTGTCCGGTCAGAGACAAGAGACGCTGCCGAAGGTGTAATGCCAGGGACCCCACCCCAATATCTAGCGGGCGGGCCAGCGACATAGGATAGCGGTAATTATTTAATTATATTATTTCTTTAATATAATAAAAAGAAAATAAATTTTAAAGAGCACAATCAGATTCAAAAACAATGGGGAAGGACAGAAAGGGAGTGCCGCGAGGCGCCTGTTCGCATGCGTCGTGCGAATGCGACGACTACGAGCTGCCCTCAGAGGGCCACCCCTGCGCCTACTGTGGTTCGCATCTTTTAATTGTTCTTCTTTAATCGTAAATTATGATTTTTTCACCAAACAATCGTTCATTCGTTCATTCCTTGCCTGATGGATGCATATGTTAGGCCACTACCCGGCTGAGCACAAGTCGGCCGGCGCTACACGACAGGCGAGTCCTCCGCCAGCAGCGTCCGAGGTGCGTACTACGCGATCTCCCTCGCCCTCCACCACCTCGTCGTCATCGTCGTCGTCGGTGGCGTCGGACCCCTTCTTCACCTTCGCCTCGCCCAAGCAGTCGTCGCCCAGCAGCACCCCCTCTGCTGCCCCGTCATCGTCGCCCGCGCCCACCTTCTCCTCCTACTCGGCCTCCACCACCTCCTTCGCCCGGCCCACAGCCGGCCCAATTCCTACGGCGAGCTCCACCACCAGCTCTTCTCATCATCACCAGCAGCACGGGCAGGCCCCACCAGCAGCAGCGCCGCGAGGTGGTGGCGGCGGCGGTTACCAGCATCGGCCGGAGCACCACACGGCCGAGGTGCAGACGGCGTTCTCGGCGTCGAGCAAGCGCGGCAAGCCCAAGGAGAGCCTTCCCATGCAGCTGTGGAACAATCCGCAGGAGGTGGTCAAGGACGTCAAGATCAAGGTCAAGCAAAAGACCAAGAAGCACCAGGCCTGATCATCAGCAGCATCCTCCTCGCCCTCGTCCATCATCTTCCTCCACCCAAAAGAGCACCTCTCCTTTTATTTTGTCAGTCACTACAACGTTTGCCTCTAGGCACATTAGAATGTAGTGCACCACTCGACCGCATCGTTAGCGCAAGCAACACTGGTTCTTGGGTGGGTTGTTGGGTTGGTTGCATTTGTACAATAGTATGACGAGGCGCAGAGCAGGAGCAAAATTGGAGCTGTGCTGTGTGGGGTGGAAGTGACAGCTGAGATGATCTCAGTCGCGCTCGGTGCGGGCGGACTCAGCGCGTCTGAGGTTGCTGCCGCTGCCGCCGGGACTGAGCGAGCGGAAGGAGAGGGCCTCGGCCAGCCGTCGGGGCGACAGCCAGCCCGACGCCCCGCTGCGCGGCGATTCCCGCCCGGCGCGCGTCTCCGACTGCGACGACCCGAGCCCTCCTCCGCCCTCGGCGCCGCCCCCGACACGCGGAGAGCCCCGCGGAGACGTCACCGCAGCGCCGCCCTCCACCACCGATGTCGCGGCTGACGACCGCCACGAGAGGGGCTTGAGCCGCGGCGGCGGCGGTCTCTGCGCTCCTCCTGGCTGATGCTCCGTCGCTTCCGCCTCCTCCTCTTCTCTTTTTGTCTTCGTCCTCTTCATCTCCTTCTTTTCGCTTTCTTTTTCTCCTTCGTCGAATTTGTCGGCGTCTTCGCTCTTTGGCGCGCTGGCCTCGAGACCGGCTGCTGCCCGCGCTGCTCGGGCCGCAAGAAGTCGTGGGCCAGCCTGCACGAAGGACAGCGGGTCGACACCCACAATACCATTGCCACCGCCTTCGCCGTTGTCGTTGTCGACGTCGACGTCGAGTCCGGTGGGTCGGTCGTCGGCGAACGATTCGAGGGCGAAGAATTGTCGCCAGCTGCGCAGCAGGCGAATCCAGCGATCTGCGTCGGCCGGCGTGTCGGCGAGGAGGTGCACCACCACCGCTGCCGTCGCGTCGTCCGTCGGCCCCGCAACGCGAATGCGGATCGCGCACTCGTGCAACGCCCGCTCTTCTTCGGCTCGCTCCGACGACGATGGAGCCGAAGAGGAAGAAGAAGTGGTGGGGGCAGGAATGCGACCGACGGCGGCGATGGAGCCGAGCGGGATGAAGCCGAGCGGGGAGAGGTCGTGGTGGCTGGGGAAGAAGAAGAGGTTGTTGGCCTTGATGGCGAAGAACTGCTTTCGCCACCGGCGCCTGGCGGAGAAGAGCCCCGCCGTGTCCCGCTTTTTCGAAAGCGGTGGCGGCCCCGTCACGTGTTTCAGCAGATAGCCCTCGGCCTCGGGCAACTGTGCACGACACACGACACACGACACACGACACACGCACGGGTGAGTTGAGGGTGAAGGCCGAGGTCTGGGCTTTGATGAACAGGGCGACGCGCGGGTCCATACCATGGCGTAGAGGAAGTGGTTATCGAAGATGTCGTCCTCGCCGATGTGGTCGTCGATGATGCCCGTCTTCTTGAGCACGAACATGGCGCTCTTGGGCAGCTGGTGCTGGCGCAGACTCCGCTGGTGGTCCAGCAGCTCCACTGCCCCCCCATAGTGACCGTAAGTATTATAATTGTGATGTTGAGAGTCGTCTTGTCAACCACCATCGTGCTCGATTCGCGCACGAATGAGAGGAGTCTACGTACCTCGACGCGAGGGGTCCTGGTCGAGGGACGTGATCTGGAATGCATTCCTCGACCCTGTGCGGTCACAATGTATGGCGGCCGGTCAGAAATGCTTTTAAGTTGTGTCGTTGGTCGCGCGTCACTCGGCGGCGTACCAATCTCGTGAGCGACGGCGTAGACGAGGTCGTAGATCTCGACGTCGGGGTCGACGATGAGCGGCTGGACGCTGCCGTCTTGCAGCAGGAGGTTGATCTGCACCATGCTCGGTGGCTGCCCAACGCCCTCGTGCGGCGGCGGCTCCAGCGCCTCGTCGGGCGGCATTCGCCTATCTTCCTCCGTCTCACTCTCCGCTTCGTCGTCGTCCATCTTCGCAGGCAGCTTGCAGCTTGGTTCCTCCGCTTTACGTTCGTGCGTCTACAATGCACGCGCGCGTTTGTAGTGAGTTCCCGTGCGGTGTGTGCGTGTGCGGGCAAAGGCAACAAAGGGGAACCTTGGAGGGGCTGACGGTTTTCTGAAGTGGCGATGAGGGGGTGGGGGATGTTGATGGCGATGGGCGGCCGGTGCCGCATCGGCCCTCGCGCTCGGCGGAGAGCTTGCGGAAGAGTTGCACCGACGAACGCTTGTCCGGTCCGAAGAACAGCTTCAGCTCGAGCCACGCCATCAGTTGCTCGGTCTGGGCCAGCGCCACACGCACCACACGCACCACACGCACCACACGCACCACACGCACCACACGCACCACACGCACCACACGCACCACACGCACCACACGCACCACACGAAAGTTGGTTAGCGGGGCGGAGTGTGTTATGTGGCCAAGCAAGAGCGAGCCGGGCGAGGTACCCATTCGGCCTGCTGCTGCTTATTCTCGGCGATCAGGTGGTGCACCTCGCCCGTCGACGTCTCGATCTAGGCGTGGGACGCGTTCGATGGTTTCCGTCAGAGAGAGAGAGAGAGAATGGCGGCGGTGTTTGTTGCAGGGGGGAAGGAGATGGGGGTAGAGGTGCCTGGAAACAGCAATCAGGGCCTTTGCGAGAGAACGAATCGAAGGGCTCTGTGTTGACGATGCCTCGCACACGCTGTATTCCGATGAACGACAGCGCCTCTCCACGCGCTTTATGGCTCTACACGACCAACGACACACATGAGAGATCTGGTTTGGCTGGAGGAGAGTGGGTGGCGGCGAGCGTACGGCGGATTTGTAGTAGAAGAGCTTGTCCTTCATGAGGACAAAGTATCGCTTCTGCCAGCGCTTGCCGAACCGACTGGTACGCTCGCCGTACTTCCACAGTATGCCCTCCTTGCTCGGCAGCTGCAGGCCCCACGCACACGCACACGCACACGCACACGCACACGCACACGCACACGCACACGTCCAAACGGTCAGATCCAAAACGCGAGAGACACATCTCCGAATTGGTATGATGGCGACGATGATGTCATTACCCAAATGTAGAGGCTACACGAGTCCGCGTCCACGCGTCCCTGGAGAGGTGAAGAGAGTGAGATCACACGAAATTCTTCCACACATAAAGCTTGACATATTGATATATCATCATCGTCATCGTCACCATCACACCACAAACGGTTGACATCACCAGACGCAAGACCAGTTGGTACCTCCGACGCGCCAGCAGATCCGTTGGTGGCGAGAAGGTACATCACCTTCTCGTGGGGAAGCGGCAGGTGCAACAGCTCCGCGTCCCGGTCCAGCAGGCCCACCACTGCGTGGGTTGGGTCATTGCAGCAGGCTCTCTCCATCAGAAGCGTGCTCCATCCATCAGAGCAGAGATCTGCTGCTATCTTTCAAGGGCGGGGAGCGGGGGTGGCCCACCTGCGGAAAGCGAAGGCTCCATCACCGGCACGCTCTTCCCGTCGGCCGTCACCGCCTGCGTGTCGTTGGTCGTGTCGTTGGTCGTG